AATACTTTTGTTTGAAAAGTCTATTATGCCATTGACATTATAAATCCTCTCATTTATGTAAAACCTTCTATATTATATATTATATAATATATTTTTACATAGGTATTTTATTTATAATTAAAATTATTTTATTTATTATTTTTATAATATATCCATACATTTAATTGGTCTTAATTCTAGCGTCACAAGCAGTATTTTTCTCGGTTGCAGTGTTGTCATGTAATCACAAGTTATGATAAGACAGAGGCTGATGATATATACTGTGCCTTTTGGGCTGTTTGCTATTTGAACTTTGGTTGTAAATAAATGGAAAAGAAATCTGATTCTTCCAAAAGGAGAACAGAGAAAAAGAAGAATGGGAAAAGAAAGAAAAATCTTGAGAGGCAGCTAAATGGAGGCTGTAGGCAACAAATATCAGGATACCGTGGTTGAGTTGGCCTTTTGTCACTTCATTTTCAATTACTACCAACAATTGCATGCACGATATTTTTTTGATATGGTCCCTATTTAATGTTCGTGTTCTTAATGCTACTGCTAGTCGAGAATCTATCGGAAATAACTTTTTTATCTAGTTCCTTGAGATAAGAGTAATGTTCGTGTCCTCCATAAGCCCTATACTATGAGAATACACTAGGTATATCATTATTGTTGTTCTTAATACTATTGTTAATATTTAAACACGGTTTTCTTTGTGAATGACAGTCCAAAGAAGTATTGGTAGAGGCGATTAGGCAGAATATAATGTTATTCCAGTTTACTGAGTACATGACCATAGATATGAAGGTGTGAAGGCTGAAAATTGAAGTAGAGGGTAGGACAGGTAGCCGAGCGTTGTCCTTGTCTATAACAATAGCTTTAGTACATGATTTAATGTTATTTGTGTATTCTCATATCTCTCGACTTCTGTAATTACTTGTTGTTGCTTTCGTATCGGCTCTCTGATTGCAGTACCTAGTGTATTTAGTTTTATACTTTTGCTTCGATTTTCTAATTGGTATGCCTGTCGTTGCCCTTCCTTTTACCTATCCTAAGCCGAGGGTCTTCCGGAAACAACATTTCTGCCTTCTTGAAGGTAGGGATAAGATCTGAGTACACATTACCCTTCCCAAACCCACTTGTGGGATACACTACAAAAAAGCCGGAACTAGCTACGAACGTCGTCGTTAATCTGTCGCTAAAACGTTCGTAGCTAGTAGAATTTTTTGATAATCCGTTGCTAATCCGCTAAATGATATTAACGATGGATTTTTCGATTTAGCTACAGAATTTGTCTGTCGCTAAAAACTGATTTTTTAGTAGTGATTACACTTAATTTGTTGTTGTTATTGGTTTTTTTGTGAATGCACCCCTATGTGGTGCAGAAGTTTATATGTTTTTTATTACATCAGGGAGGGGAAGGGAAAAACAGAAACAGAATGTTACGAACTTATGATACCGATGAGATTTGATTCCTCCACCTCAACTGTGAAAAGACAGCCAAATATGTTAGTTTGATGTTAATGCGATGTAATTAGTGTCCATTTAAGAAATTTCGTGGAAATCAAGACTCTTTCTTATCTACTTATGCTAAGTTTGTTGGTTTTGGGCTTTAATTAGGCGACTGAATCTTGAAAAAGTCATGTCTGGCGACCTTAGCCACTTGAAAAAGTCTATTTTATGTGCTCTGTTTACACTTTTATATCTTTATTTTCTTCCAAAATCTTTGGGTGGCTCATCAACTTGTAATGTCCGTCTATGTTAATCGGACTCTTCAAAAATATTATTGGGTACGTGTCGGATTCTCCAAATTTAGTGCATTTTTGAAGGATCCGACACGGGTGCGGCAACACTTTTGGAGAGTCCGAACAACATAGACGTCAGTTTTTTAGTTTTTTATTTTTATTATTTTAATAGAAAGCCAAGGAGGCAGTTTAAGACAAACCTAATTTTGCTTTCATTAGTATTAATTAATATTATCCTATGTAACACATTATTTGTTCATCTGCTCTATCCTTATAACAAGACTCCATTAGCTTTTTAGCTACAGCTACTTTGACCAATCCAATAAAACTATAGCGCACACTTGTTCATTTTTCCTACTGAACATGGCAAAAGAAAATTAATTAATTTAAAGATGGAGTAAAACGAGTTTAATTTGATCATAATGAGATTGGACTATTGACTAATTTTACCCTACATCGATCACTATTTAAAAGCTCAAATTCTACAAACATTTCTTTCATTTTTTTCTTATTTTCTTACCCGTGAGAATACTTGCTTCCACGTAATATCGCTACTAGAAATTCGGAAAAAATCGTCCAAAAAAACCGACCAAAGTAGGTCGGTAATGGCCAATAACCGTCTAAAATGTGACCATTAATGTGTGGTCGGTATTTTGAAGGTCGGAAGGGCAAACCAACCAAAGTTGGTCGGAAATTACCAACCAACTTTGGCCGGTCAATTAAATTCAAAAACAAATTGCCAAAAAAAAGACCTCCGACCAAAATCGGTCGCTATTTTAATTATGTAATTAAAAAATGCACCGTTTGGGAATCGATTTGGGTATGTACTGTGGCAAGATACTATTCTACCACTAGACCATTGGTGCATTTTATTTTAAGACTGTCTTTTATTTTATTTATACTCTTTAATTGTATTTTTCCACGAAAATAACCGACCAATGTATGTCGGTTTTATTTTTAAAAAAAATTACCGACCGAATTCGGTCGGTTTTTTAAAATGACCGGCTGAATTAACCGACCAAAGTTTGTTGGTTTTTTTAATATTAATTTTAATTTATTTTAAATGAAAAGCCGACCAAAGTTGGTCGATTTCTTGAAAAATTAATTTCGCGAGACTCAAAAATAGTTTCCCGCATTTTTGCACTAAAGAAAACCGATCAAAGTTGGTCGGTTTCGTAAAAAAATAAAAAAAAAAATATTTTGAAAAACCGAGGTCGTTTTTTTGGCCGGCTTTTTGACCGACCAAAATTGGTCGGTCGACCGCGGTCGATTTTTGCCGAATTTCTAGTAGTGATATATATATATCTACCAAACTAAACATTTTAACTTTAAGAGTTATTAAACTAAAATGAAAATTCATACTATTACTTAACCGTAGTTAATTGACATTTATTGAGCAACAAATGTCCACACCACTGATCCTCCAATTAACACTAACGAGCAAAATTTTTTATGTTTCCTGATCCCAGCAACAAGGAATATAATTTGGTATAAATATCCAGTATTTACCTTCTTCTTCTTTTTTGTTTTTTGGTTCAATTATTCACACCTCCAGAACATCAAAAAGTCAACTAGAATTGTAATTTGTACAAGATAATGATCCCAGAAATTGGGGGAGATTGTTCAAACATGTTTGATTTTATTGATGAGTATTCATAACGTGGTCAAATACAAATAAACATGTCTTCAAGTTATTTTTGCTAACAGTAGGAATAACTGTGGCGGCTAAGAGGGACGAGGTTTTTGACTCTTACAGTGCTATGAAATATAACTAACGAGGTTATGTTTCCCACGTGCAAAAGAATTTGCTTATCTCCACCTATTTTTGATTTTTTAAGGTTCCTATGAAACCTGCTTTATTAAGATGTAACAAAATTAAAATATGCTAAATGTAAATTTTCCAAACTCACTGTTGTTGGTACTATTACGTGCGTTTTTATATGTAATAAATATACAATATATTTGACTATTACTTTCTAAAAAGCAATCAGTAGCTCTACTTATCTTAAAATTCCTTTCTTCTTATCTTGAAAATAAAAGCTACTTTTAAGAGAGCAGCTTAGCAGTAAAGCTATTTCTTTTAATTCTTAAAGAAGTACTAGTTATATCCTACAGTACTAATTTTTCATTTAACGCTTCACATTTTTTTTTAATCTAAAGCTACTTTAAAAGTTATCCTTCACAATTTTTCAATTTTTCTTCCAAGTGAAATTCATTTCCCAAATACAAAGGAATTTCAAATATTCTTTTTCAGCTTTAAATTCAAATACCTTTTATTCAATTTCGATCAATATTGTCCAATTGCAAATTAAAATCTAATAAACAAAGAACCATTCTTAGCAACATAAATTGTTAAGTTGGAGCTGAGAAACATGATAAATAACCAATTAAATTGTAAACTAAACTGACAATCCACTATTTTATATTATCAGTCTATATTACTTTTACTTTTTCAAAATAGTATCATTCAACCTTAGAATCCACAACCCAAATTTCATTATTATAACCAAAGTGCATGCACGGCGGCCTGTATTTACTGTGTCATGTGAGAAACTTTTTTCACAAAAAGGCAAATGGAATCTGAGTTTGGTTTAAACTTTAAAGTCGTAATCTTTAGGTGTTTGACAAGACAAAGAAGTCGCTGGGACATGACATTCAGCACTAATTAGCACATATACGTCTAGTGGGCTTTACCTTATCCAACTGCCCATTGGTCTCCTAATCTCCTGTATTAGGTACGGATTTGATTAAACCCAATAATTTTTACTTAACTCCTGAATTAATATTAAAAAAAATTAATTTAAACAACAGTTCATCCAACCACTTAAGCTAAAAATAGCCGGTGAAGGTATAATATATATAATGTATAATCTATGTATATGGCTAGAAATAGTAAACAATAAATATGGCCGGCTATTTGTGTAATTAAATATATAAAAATAATAATTGTGAACAAGCTATGAATTTCCTAATAAATTCAGTAGGCATAAATTTCAAACTCCGCTTCAGTTCAATTTACAATGCGGGTTCGGTACTACCACTACCACAATGGCGAGTGGCGACTCACTTAATGAAATACTTCGAATACAGAAACAGTAACAATTCAGTCTACGAACTATCAATAGAACATGCATAACTTCTAATAATTTTTCTCAGAATATTTTGCTAAATGCTAATTTTTGGTCTTACAATTACCTTGTCGGTCAGATATTTGTGTCAAGTTTCACTTTTCCGTACCACAAATAATTATAGTAATGGTTCTATTATGTTGAATAACAATAATCAAATTGCATATGGAATTGAAAATTCTATAATACAAGAGCCAGACAGTCTGTTGCAATATCTTAAATCACCCATTACATTGTTCCGGAAAATAAGTCAATTCAATTAGTAGTAACGTTAACTGTCTCAAAAATTTTATTACGAAGATTCATCATAAATTGACAAGTTTTATGTTGACGGTCAGTCTACCTCAACACTCCTCCTTTATCCAGGCTTGAGACCAACAACACGAGCAAGCCCACACAAGCGGAATAAATAGTGAAGTCTTTTTTTCCACATAAGAGAGTCCATGCTCTGTACTCTCTTAGGCTAAATTTACTATTAGGGCCACAACTCTCAAATTGTCCAACTGATAAAAGATCCTACGAAAAATATTAACGAATTGAGAAAGCATAGAAAAGTAAACTACCGACAGAAACAATTTCCAAACTTTTTCATTTTAATTCAACCATTTGTTCAACGTACATGTAACATATATTATCTTGAAGGAAGAGTTGGTTAAGATAAAGGAATGGCTATTAATCACAGCCAAAGGACAGCTTGCCAAACTTAATTAGCAGATAATGACTTGGCCACGACTTTTTTAACTGATACTGATAATTCTATGCTATCCACAACAGTTTCTCAAAGCCAAGAACACCTAACCTGAATCTATACACATCAACATTAGTCAGCAATTTTGAATTCCACCAAACCACTGTCTGCCTGAATAAATGGAGCAGCCACTTTAGGAGAAGTATTTCTTTATATCTAGGATGAATCATGTGTTAAACTTGTTGCCGTTAATATTGAAATTTAACTTAGAAAATTCTAATATTAGTCCGATGAATCAGCAAAATAAAGTTAGAGATGACTCATATGTTCTGTCTTACAATGTGAAAGTGAAACATCAATTGAAAGCAATGTATTTTGACAATATGTAATTTTCTCTATTATCAGAGTTTCTCAACAAAATACATTACCTGTATAGCATAAGCCCGACGCAAATGTCACCAATGTCTTTGTCCTTCAATCAATGAGTGGTGTATTACTCCAAGCAACCGTAGCAGCCAGCCACTCCTCTTTCATTACCGTCAGCTGATGCAGAAAGAGGGAATGACAGATTGAAACTACAAGAATTTTTTCATTGTCGTTTTCAATCAAGACAAACAAGCTCTCAATCCCATGTCATCTATCAGCCAAAGATTATGCAAATATTTAAGATTTTAACTTAAATACTCCAGTAGTAGTGTCGCACACAAAAGTTCAGCAATAATATGGCTCATGGCATTAGACAGTGGATGTTGATCTATAGCAATAAGATTAATCT